TTGGGATTGTGAACAGATTCGAGTCAAAATCTACTGGTTTTCAGGAGGCGTAGATGTCAACAAACCCAGTTAGGGACCTGCACTGGAACAGAATCAAGAAGATTGTTTACAATATTTGGATTTATTTTTATTTATTTATTTATTTATTTTATTTGATCAATGCAGGAAAATATAATTTGTGAATTTTAAAACATAACTTAAGTTGAAGAATGAATTGAATGTCTCATGCTAAAGTAGCTGGATAACAGCAGGAGACTGTTGCAGTGCAAATATCAAATTTCATGCATGAATAAAACAGTAAAGAAAAGAGAAATGTTAGAATTGCTTATGCATAAAGGAAGACTGGAAAAATTTTTCAATTATAGCAAATATTCTAAAGTAGGCAAATAATCTAATTCGGTGAGTGATTGTTTCAGACTGTGTGTATCTGACGGAAAATGGACTCAATGCAGCTTAAAATCACAATTTTCAAGCCAGAGTTTCTGGCTAGGAAAACAGAGGTAAACAGATTTTTGGCTGTTTAGCAAAACTTTATGTAAATCCAGCTGACACATGCACTTACACCGAGTAAAGGTTTGGTCCAGGCGCCTGGGGCAGGTCATTATCCTCCATCACCGCCAAAGCCCTGCAGTTACAGCCACATGCTCCACTCCCTCCATCACTTCTATACGCGTCCATCACCTCCTCATGGTGTTTCCTCTCTCTGAGATTCACCTTACAAAACTTTTTTTTAAAACCAGGTCCTTTCATCACTCACTATTCAAACTTTCTCCTGCTTCCCATGGCTCTGTCATATCCACCCCTTGGCTATGCTTAGGTCTCTTTCCAGCTCTCCTCCCAACTCTCAGTGGAGGCCCAAAGTCCAGTGGCAACAGTAGCAGAATGTCAGCCAGCCATATATTAACATTCAGACAGCCTCGGGGCCCGAAGGTGAGCTCCACTCTAAATCAGTCAGGTTCTTCATGCACATTCAGAAAGACTTACACATCCCAAACAGTGGCTGGCACACAAGGAGCTGTGGTGTCAGTCTTCATGGATATTTTCCCTTGTTGGTTTAGTGAAATAACTCTTTTACAGCAGAGAGAGTTTCTCTCTGTCGCTGCTTTTCTTTTCAAGCCCATCCATTCTGTTTAAATCACGTTGCCCATTCTGTGTCTTCGAAACAGATGGGACAAATTGGACGAACCAAAGCCATGAGGGACACAGACCCAAGCATTTAGCTCAAATTAATAAATCAGATTACACAATCTCACAGGAACACCAAATAACATCCCTCAATCTGAAGCTGACATGACAAGATGTTCCTTTTTTCTCCTTGAAAAGGTCTGGAATCTTTATCTGTCCTTCTGTAAATTATTATTTTGCCATACTTACTGACAATAAATTTGTCAAGTCCAAATCAGATTTATTTATGTACATCTAAACATGAAGGAGTTGACCAAAGTGCTTTACATATTAAAGGCTAAATAATGTGTTTTAAGCAAACTTAAGTTGATCAGCAGTTTGAGAGGCTTTGACTTTCAAAGGCAGGATGTTCCAGAGCTTAGTGTCTATCAAAGGAAAGACTCTGTAATCTCTGATGTTTAGTCTTGATCTGAGCAAGTGACCTGTTGATCCAAAAGTCCTTGCCGGATTGTAAGAGTGAAGAGGATCAGATAAGTAGTATGGTGCCAAAGCCATTCAGACTTTTTAAAGCACTGAAAATTTAAGCACCATCCTGTCATAAATAGAAACCCAGTCCAAGGTTTTTAGTACAGGGGTGATGTTTCTGAGCCTTCTGCTTCCAGTCAGGAATTGCAGTTGTTCCAATTCCTGCAACTACTTGTAATAATGTAACCAAGATGTAATAAATGTATGGATTACAATTTCAAACTGGTAAGAAGGGATATAGGATGCAAGCCTTAAAAACTTTGTGAGGTCATTTGTTTACTGCTGTTCTCTAAAAAAAAACTACACAGAACAGCTGATTATGTTGTGTGTGGATGGACGGACGGACGGACGGACGGATGGATGGACGGATGGACTGAGGTAAAATTGCAAACAGTACAACTATTTAACAATTGGGTGACTTTAGAAGTTAATTGGTTGCACTAGATTTAACTTTGTGGTGTTAGAGTGAAGGGGACTGAATACAAATGCACAGTGAAAACAAAAAGTCATCACACCAGGCATCCCTTTCCATCAGTTCTACAGTTTTTGGATCCCATGGATATTTAATGTATTGCACAAAGGCACAATAAAATACAATAACATGTGTGTTTGTAGTTGAACAAAACAAAACAAATCTTGCAAAGCTTTAGAAATGTGCTACAATCTTAAACAGGTTTGCCTTAACAGTTTGCCTAATGAAAAATTGTTGATATCAGTAGGAATGAAGAATAATTACTACCGTTCGTTAAAGGCAAAGCATAGCTTGTAATGAGGCCCAGATTTACTTCAGGAGAAACTTTAACCAAAATTCAACAGATACAGGTTGGCAAACAAAACCTTGGGCAATATGGAGACTGGAGGCAAACTCTTCAAATTTTAATCTACAGCCCAGCAATAATGTGAGGCGAATTATCTGACACCCCCGCAGCAAAGAAACAGAAAGAAAAGAAGAACAAAGTGGTGGGGGATGCCAGTTGGTTAAAGAAATGTATTCTTGCTAAAAACAAGCCACTCATTGAAATAGTTCTGATACTCGGTGCACACAAAAACATGTTTTTTTGTTCAACAGCATGCAGCGTAATAATATAAATTTCTGCATCTGCACACTATAGCACTACCACCCCTAAAATAATAAACCCAGAAATCATCCTTCCCTCAAACATATTTTAGGTTTTAATAACCACACAAAATATGCATCTGCAATATCCACTCAAAAACACTGTGTGCTTCCTTCCTGTCCTCCATCTCTTTTATTCTGTGCATGCAGGCTCTCCATTGCCCATCACTCACATTGAAATTCCATCTGTTTTTGCAATCTGGGAGTGCAGCTGTAGAGTTTTTACGGTTCCCCACTCAGTGCAAAGGGGGATGTATTGAAACCCAAAGTGGAGACTTTGAAAGTTGAACACATGCTGAAATCAGCCCTGCAGGTCACTGAGGGCTGTAGTGTTTCGCTGCTGGCTCCTCCACAGCTTTCTGAAGACAGTTTATGTCCAGTGTAAAGCTATATCACAGAAGTCAAAAAACTTCCCAGACATCAGTCCGTCGGGAAGCTACAAACTGTTTTTTTTTTCTCCCCACCCCACATCCTGCATAACTGATTTAACAGAAATGGAAGACAAATGGAGAAGAAAGAGCACAATTAGGGACTTCCACCTTGTACAAAGCACTCAGACATGGAGGAGAGTCTCCTCAGAGTCCCATTAGGAATGGATGTGTTCCCATCAGAGTGTGGAGGAGGAGGAGGAGAGCTTTGGACAGTAATGGATTCAAACCTGGAAATGAGCATTTATAGACAAACCCACGCTACAGTGTAAACAAACAGCTTCCTGAAAATGCAATTCACACACTGCCTGTCAACTACTGTTTTCACATTTTGCCACATTCCAACTGCAAACCTTTTTATAACGTATGGTTCATCAGAGATCAACACAAAAAAGTCCATGACTGTAAAATCTTTACAGAGGTTTACTTTAGGTCTGGACTTTGACTAGGCCATTACACTACAATGAATACAATGGAAGCAAAACCATTCAACCAAGCTCTGGGTGCACGTTTAGGCAGAGCCAGATAATTATCATAAGGGTTGCCAGGCTGGGACTGTTGCTCACTCTGGAGTGGCCAACAATTCATAAGTGCCAGAACCACATCCGTTTTTTTGTTTTTGTTTTTTTTAAATAAATAAATTAGAAAACATTTTTTGTATAACCAAAGCAACAGTGCGTGTGTGAGCTTTTTCTTGTAACCATGTTCCTTCTGCCACAAAACGGAGGACCTTTCTACAGCCAACTACGGAGTTCCTTGAATATTATTTAGTGACTATTACTGAGAGCACAATTTGATGAAATCCTATTTTGAAATATTGTCCTGCAGCTGAAACAAATAAACAAGTTCTCCTCATCAGAAAGACAGAAAAAGTACTGATAGAAAACAGCCTGTTCCACTGAGAATAGGTTAAGGATTGAAATTGTAATGTTGTTCCTTGAACATCTCATCCTTCAGTTTAGAAGAAAAGTCTGAATGTTCTCAAAGTGCTAATTTTCTTCCTACAACTATCAGGCTGCAACAGCTATAGCCTGCATCTATTATAACAGCCTTTCAGATTATTTTCATCTTCTGCTGAAGCGAGTGGCTGGCCAGCTAATCACTAGTGAAGCAATCTGAAGTACGTTTGTCAGGGAACATTAGCTTTAAGAAAATTAGCTTTCTGACAGGCTGCAGTGTATCAGAGCCCTTAAGTGACTTTAGTGGTGAAGGGAGGAAGCAGGAAGGTGCGGCTCTGTGGTGTACATGAACATGTGTGTCTGACAAAATGTCTAAATCAAGAGCGATCGTCTAACTGGAGTGCTGCACCCTCTAACAAACATATTCTTGTGACAGTAGGAGAAAACTCCCCATTTCCTTTCAAATGATTTTAGAACTAATTTTCAAAGCATGACCCAATGTCCCACCTTTAAAAGAAATGGATTCAAAGAAGAGAAATGGGATGAAGAGCACTTGCTCTCAGTGGAGTACAGTAAAGTGATATAAAAATATTGTATTAACACAGTACAAGGCATCTTGAAGTCGAACTCTAATTAATGCTAATGGCTAAAGGTAATATCTAGTTCCCGCCAACTGAGAAGCAGAAATAGAGAAAAAATACATATATGTGTCATTCAGAAAGCGCTGGTTGGTGGTAGATCTTTTCAAAGACCTACCACAGGTCATCAATGAATTAAATGTTAAGAATTATAAAGAGGATTAACTTGATTTAGCTCGTTAATTAATTCTTTGTCCCGAATTCCTGTGTCTGTGTAAGTGTGCAGAGAGAAAAGAGCAATCATACGACGTCAGACTTCAGATATTCAGAGTTTTATCCAGAGAAATTCAATCCAAGAAGAACTTTACAATAAGCATCTCACCTAGAGCAAAAGTCCAAGACATTACAAAACAGAGACAAAGAACTGAGTAAAAAAAAGACAAAACAGAAGATGCATCCTCCGGGAAACTCTCACTCAGCACAAAGAGATTCCAACTTCTGCTGTGAAACCAACCATTTTTTATAGACTGCGTATTCTCCTCATTTAAATATATGCATTAGGAGGTGTGTTCTTTTCCTTTGTGTGGGCTGTCTTAATGTTAATTTTATTACCTCCTGCTAAAGAGCCCCAAAAGCAGATATACAGAAAACCCTTCTCGTACCAGCCGCTGTCCAGTTTGATATATGATTGCAGCTGCAGCGTTATCTCTGCCTCAAAATGTTTTCACAAGAAAGTAGTTTGTATTCTTAACCAAGCTTGCACAAAATGTAATGCTAAATAATGACTATAAGTTTGGATCTAATAAGTAACTAATTAAAAACATGCTTAAAGAAATATAGTTAATTCTAATATAGATAAAATTATTTATAAAAAGTTTTAAGATCCTAGTGAACTTTTGAACCATGCTCAGGAATTTGTTAATTGCCTGGCAGACAGGCTCCCTATCTAAAGAGATTCAAGGCGTCTAGGCCTGTTTTCTGTCTACTCCTCTGCGTTCAGAGAGTCGACTGTGAGTCTGAAACATTGTTTATGGAAAATATCGTCTGCAGCTTCACTTTTGACTGGATGCTGGTCTCCATATCTTGGTTTCTGACTGAAGAGCTTCTTCAGAACTGAAGCTGAGAAAGAACCGGCGTACTGAACCTAAAGCGAGAGAAATGGGTATGGTTACATGGTGGATATGGTGCAAAGCAATAACTCGTTTACCACAGGAAGCTGTTTGATGAAAAACTGGTCAAAGATCACAAACTGTCAGTTCCAGACTTTAAATGTCCTTCATGAAGAAGTAACAGGATGACTGAGGAGACTTTAGTTCTTATTTTGCTGCTATTCATCTGTAATCCTATTGATTCCCTTCTTCACCAGATAGGGATACGGTCCCATCAACTGAGCGGAAATATCTAAAACAAATTTTTGGCTTCTCACCAATGAGTTCTTTGTGCTTCTAATTCTATGTTGTGAATTTCTTTGGAGGCTGTTGGTCTTTAATTACATTTTTGATGAACAGCCTGCATGCAGCTTACAATAATATGCTTGACGTTTTTGTTTTTTTTCCTTCTCCCAGTGTCCTTCATTTGCATTTTGAAGCTCTGCCCTGCTCCTGGTTGTGATCCAGCAGCTGAGATGCAAACACTTGTAGCTTTTATCCTTTGCCTTAAGATTTTAATCAGCAGTTTGAGCATTTGCATGATTTAGTATCTCCACAATTCATAAAAACTCTTACCCATTGTTTGACTGATTAATACAATCAATAAGATGTAATTCCCTATAGAGACAAGGCCCAAAATTCTGGCTAAATTATGAACAAAATGGTCCACCTTGTGTAGAAGAACATACTCGTGTTGCACACAGAAGGCTTTTCACTAATAAAAAAACATTAAGTACTCTGCTTTTTCAAGGCTGGTAGTAAATCTGTCCCTATAAAGTTATCGATAGAAACAACACAACAGGCTTGACATTAGTTTGGCTAATTGCATTCACAAATCACACGGTAAGTGAGTCGCGCCTCAGATGATGGCTACATAACATCGCTTGATGACGCTGAGACGCTGCAGAGTTCTGGGCGTTTCGATTCATCACTTTAGATCTGACATGTGAGCTTCCCCCTGTCTGCCCCTCTTCTTGTTACTCTTGCTGCCATGATGACTGCAGAGGTTCGGGCCGAGGCAGATGTCTGCTTGTCTTTAACGTCCCTCACATGTTCAAGCGTGAGACGCTGAGGTGGTGTGAGAATTTAATGGGTGGGGGAGCACAACTGAGACGGGGTGTGAATTGGCTCCCTGCATGTGTGTGAGTGAGTGTTTTTAGTGGATCCTCTCTTTTCTGCTGCAGTGCATTCACACATCAGCCTTCACTGCAGAATAACACCATGATGTCATCTTTCCCTTTCAACTTTCTGAATCCCTCAAGCCGTGGACGGTCAGGTCCTGCATAAGAAACCGTATGATAACAGAATATTGGAGGAAAATGATTCATAATTTCTTCAGAAAACTCAAGACATAAGCTTAAAAAATCTCAAAACAATATGGATGGATGGATGGATGGATGGATGGATGGATGGATGGATGGATGGATGGATGGATGGATGGATGGATGGATGGATGGATGGATGGATGGATGGATGGATGGATGGATGGATGGATGGATGGATGGATGGATGGATGGATGGATGGATGGATGGATGGATGGATGGATGGATGGATGGATGCCTATTTTGTACAACAATCTAATTTTAGGTTCGGAACTAAATCAGCGATGTGAAACCTGTGGCTCTACAATAACATTTTCTAAAAATTAAAAGGAACCAGAGAATATTTTTCAATACAGATATCATGATAAATGCAGATTTTTAACCTGCATTTTTGTGCAATATTTGCATTGAATTTCCACAAATAAAAAAATATATTTTCATGGTCATTAGGTTGGAGCTTATGTATTTTTCTTTATTTTTTATCTTTAAATAATTCATCATCTTTTATGTTTATCTTTGTTTTTCATCCTAAATATAGAAATAAAGCACTCGCTCTTTAACGCAGATATTTGTTTAAAATTTTTTAATTTTTCAAAATGTGATGTTCATGAGGGTGAATTAGTTTTATATGGCTGTCCTGAGAGCAAAATGGTACTTTTGGTTGTAAAGACTGCAGACCTCTGAACTGGATGAATGCATAAACTTTACGTAAATGATAAAATCCCAGACGTAAAAAGTAAATCAGTCCACAAATCACTATGTCGCAGCAGGATTTTAGCCGACTGGTGGTAAAGCTAAAAATTCAGCTGGAGCTTTCAATGATGCTTGCAGGCTGGATTCGAACTTAATCTTTAATAAAATGTGTTAATAACTGTTGAAAGTCGTAAGTTCATGACTGCATTCACTAAAATACCAAGTTTCTTCTCTATGATAGCATAAGTACACATGTGATATAACATTGCCTCTGTTTTAAAAAAACCATTAAAGCAGAACGGTTTGCTAAATCACACTAACGTTACGCTATTTTGGCGCTAAATGCAGCAACTTTTCATTTCAGCCACAGTCTCTCCCTCTCTAGTGTTTAATTGAGATTTAACAAACCTGGAGCTGTGGGAATTTGGTTACAGGCATGGGAAATTCAATCTTGTTATACATTTATGGATCTTGTAAAATAAGAACCAAAGACATGGGCACAAACATTAAAATATAAAGCAGGGCAACAATATTAACAGATTTTATTTCTGAAACACATTTGTTAACAAAACCCAGGATGTTAACCCAGGCTAACAAATGTAGACTTTTTGGTGGAGGAACAAGTGGCTTCCAAGAAATTTGGATGAAAATGAAATGATGTGAGGTTGCCTGATTGCATCCAAATGAATAGCTGGAAGACCTTTACCCAACTAAAACAATAACAACAACAACAACAACAAAACAAAACACAAATGCTCTCAGTCCTCCTAGAAAAGCCCTCAAATTTGCATGAAAAAATAAAGATTACTCAATAAAAACAATTTATTTTTATATTTCTCCCCATGCAAAAGCCTTTCTCTTACACACCCCTGCAAAAGTTCAAGCAGGATCTGCTCCAGCTTCACCGACTTATCTAACAACCTGCAGGGCTCTGCTGTGCATAACCTTGTGACGAACCACAATGCTATATCTGACAACATAAAGATTCACAATAGTAAGTGTCAGCACACAAGGGAAGCTCTTTCAGTCTTTTATTTTTCCTTGGAAAATTTCAGCATTTGTACTGAAGTGTGACTGAGCTTTGAAATGCTGAAGAACAAAAATGTGACATAAACTCGAGCGTGACCTCGGCACTCGTCTTGACTGGATCTGTTCTGGTGCTTATTTTCTTTGAAATCAGATGGAACAGAAACATAAGAGGCAGAAAAAAATGTTTGTGTCAAACAGAGAAACAGCTGGACATGGATAAGTTAAAGATGGTTGGTGAAAGTGTCCTCGACTCTCTCTGATGTTTACATCTGATAAAATAAACCCTGTCGTTCCTGTGGTGGTTGTATGTGTGGGAGCGATGGGGGATACTACTGCAGCTCCACTTGAAATAAAAAAAAAAAAAAGAGCCACGCAGGAGTCTGAGATGTGTGCTTCAGCTCGTGTTTCCTGTGTGAAAACAGCAGAAGCACAGCACAACCTAGTGGCACACAGAGAAACAGCCTGAGGGGGCTGGGATGAACCTTGGCAAGTTGTTTACTTTTCATAAAAGCAGCAGCCCATGGAGGGTTATATTTAGGAAAATATAGAGACTTTTAATTGTGTGTTTTTTGATAAAATCCGGCCAAAACTATTATGGCTCATTTATTGACTGTACACATCATTTTAGGGGTCCCATCATTCACTGGGCAGGAGATCAGCTCGCTTTGAACCAGGCAGTATGGAGAAAGCACTAAAAAAAAGTCATAAGCATCTTATCTGCCACCAGCGGACAGCAATTCAATTTAAGTTCCCTCTTCGTAAACGTTTTGTTGACACTGAAAATAAATCTCCAATTTGATGAGTAGATTTACATTTGGTACTTTTTAGCACGTATAAATAAATTGTGTGAAACATTAAAAATATTTAAATCCGGAAAGAAAAATTGTGTATGTTGCTGAAAATGTAGCAGCTATTGAAATAAATTTGTTGTCATTCCTGGAAAAAAAAATTGTCCAACCTTTACTGTAGAACATCAGACTAAAACATTTTTGAAAATGTAACTGAATTGCAATTCATTAAAATGATACAGTGTTCACTAATGACTACTTTAAACAAAATCACCTGTATAACACCAGACAGTTGATAAATTATATCCAGTCTAAGAAAAAGGCAACCATATTCTTTTTAATCACAATTTAAATCTTCCATTTAATGAATTTTTATGAACCTAACTAATAAACCATATCTTCCCATTTTCTTAGAAAATCACAGAGAGGTTCATTTCATTTGGTCATTGGCCAGTAGGAGTTAGTTTTATGGTGCCACCTGACCCAGAGAGCAGGATAGTAAGGGAGGTACACACCGCTAGACAACGGCAGCACAGAGTGGCATCTGCTAGTCACCAAGAATCCACTCTTAGCAGAACCATGGATTTTAGTCAGAAGACAGAATGATAAAGCTTTATGGCATTAACTACATATTTATAAGTGTTTTTTTTTTTTATTTGTTGTGAATTGGTGCTACATAAACATGAATTGAATTGGCACCAAACACATCTGGTGGTTTTGCTGCAAAAGAATATTAACCTTCTATTTTTTAAAGACTCAAACTATTTTCAATAAAAATGTGGTCGACTCTACCAGGAAGATTACCTTTACAATCAACAGTTTGATGTAGCTGATTCTGAGCAAATCATTCATGTCAAAATCAATACAGAGCCATTTTCGTCCCCCAAAGCTGGAACACGAATTCACACAGCGGCGCTTCAGAAACACATTTAGCCTCTCCCCTTCCAGCAGAGGCTCTCCTAAACCAAGATCACAGCAGTGAGCTGCAGCTAGAAGCTTAAAACTCCCAAAACATGGCAGAAAAGAGACATGCAGTTGACAAAGCATCAATTCAAAATTAACAGGAAATTATTGAGAAGTTCTTTTATTTCAATAAGTCTCCAGGTGTGACGTCTGCTAAGCTCTCAGCATTAGAGCCAGGACAGTTCTCCGTATCATGTCACACTCGCCCTTGTAATGTGGGATCTTATTGTCTCAGAGTGTCAGCACAATCTGTGTATTTGTGGTGGAGTGTAAAAGATCCACACGGGATCGGGGATGTTTAGCACACACACTCCTTCCTCTTCTACAAGCCTCCCAGGGCCTGTTACTGAAAAGCTCGGCACAGCGTGATGCTCACACCGCCTCCCTTCACAGCGGCACGCTGTTACACAAGAAATGAGCAAGACGTCCCCACCGAAGCAGCGTTCTGCCTCACAACTGAGCAGTTCGGCATGCTTACAGCAAGGCACGTTGCTGTGACGTGTCAAGCCTGATGAACTCCTGCAGTGTTTGTGCGTAGGGTACCTGTCTGATGGGTTCAGGTACCCGGTAGCGGCAGCATGACTGTGTCAGCCGGACAGCGGTGCCCAGGCTGATTTTGTGACCCACAGAGACGTAAACAGGCTTGGAGCTCTTATCGCAGCTTCTCAGCGCCTGAAAATAAAGACAAAATTCTCCCATAAATGTTCAGTATCCATCTCTCTGCGACGCTGATCATCCCTAAAATGATTTGACTTTCAACTGGGTGGCTGTGTTTTGAAGTAAGCCTGCAACAAAGCACCACTTTAGTTGAAAGTTTCTGTTTTTATTTTATTTTATTTTTTCAGTTTGTTTGTCCTCTGACGCACCTTTCCGAGCACTTTGCCCGAGGCGGCAGTGAGTGGGAAGCTGTCTCCTCCTTTTTGCAGAGCAGCAATCTGCAGAGGCAAAGAGACAGAAATCAAAGTCAAAAGACATGTACAACATGACATAGCAAATAGCAGCTTACTGAAAGACACCGTTAACTCAGAAAGTGGGAAAAAATGACTCTCTGTGGGCTTTTGTCTGTAACCTCCAAGTGACCTGACTTTCATGTCTAGCCGAAACCAGGCTTTAACAAGGTACAAGTGTTTGACCTTATTTTCTGTTTACATTGTTTTCCACAGCTACAGTAGTTTTTATTTTTATGGTAAAGATTATAGTTTTATTCATATCAACTTTGAAGCTCTCCCTAATGTTTATCTGAGAAATACGCTAACCGTATAAACTAAACTTGATTTAATAAGTAGGATAATGATCGTCTTTCTGGAACAGTTTGCAATGCAAGTATATGCCCCAACAATTAAAATGACAGGGAAAATAAAATACAAATAACATAAAATATTTTTAGGTATTCATTCAGATGTTTATGGCTTATATTGCCCAAGAAGGAAATCACTGCTTGCACTGCAGAGAAAATATTTAAGCTGAACGGCTTCCTTTTCATTTAGCCAGCAAATAATGTCCTCCCTGCTTCCTTTTGAACGCCGATATTTGCGAAAAGAAATTTATTCCAGAGCCAAAAATCAGTCAGCATCCCCTTTTCACACTTTAAAAGAGCCCAAACAAAAACCTCCAAAACGCTGACATATTTCTTTGAATCTTTTCAAAAACAATGAAAAAAACCTTCAGATTTAAGGAACTTAAATTCAATCTCTGTTCCAGCTAAAGTTTTGCTCAAACAGTCAAAGAGACAGGACAAAGTCAGCCGTAGCGATGTGGGCTGCTGTTGACAGGTGCACTGTGTGTTACGGGCCAGAGCAATGAAAGGAGTTTAGCCCTTGTGATGGATGGAGTGTCTGCTCCACTATGACTGATTACAGCAAGCAGCCAGCAGGAGGACGGCCGCGCGGAGCATCCAATCCAAGCTGGAACGAGTCCAACCGTGTGTGAGATAGAGGCCGGCCTGCTTCCTCCGACTCAAGAAGAGGACAGAACCAGAAATACAGAAGAGGTCATCAATAACACACCGATTTAAATCACACCTAGGTTACCAAAGAGGGGGGAGAAGAAGAGCAACAAAGAAGATATGACTTGTACAGAAGGTCTTTCAACATGTTTTGTCTTGATGCAAGCTAAGAGAATGCCTTTATAATAGCCCAGAATGGAGATATAAATAAATAGAAACCAGTATCAGATACCTAAATAAGGACACTAAATGGACACTTGTGGTTGTTAATTAAGTTTGACAAAAAAAAAAGCAGCTGAAGTACATCTTTGTTTATTTTCTGCTTTTGCCATAAACTATTTAACATGATTAAATATATGAATATATTTGTTTCAACAGATAAATTAAATGTTTTTTGGGGGAAAAATTATATGAGCAGATGGATGATTTGAGATGAATTCTGAGATCAACTTTCAGATAAATCGAAATCAGAACCATCTGTCTGATGTAAAATACTGGGGATTCTACAGAATTTGAAGTATTACATAATGTTTAACTTGATGTCAGATGCTGAACACTCCATACCAGCTCAAAACAACAAATAGAGCTCTGATACAGAGTCAGAGCTCTTCAAGGAGAAGAATAGAGGCAAACCTTCCAGAAGCAAAAATAGCATCCACAGATACCAAGGAAAAATTACTTTCTGACCAAAGATTTACATAAAGGTGCAACAAAATTTTGTGGTATCAAACTATCACGGCATTTAGACTGTTGGACAAATGAAGATTTGTTAAATATGTTAACTCTGATCTGCTACATTTCAACTTTAACTCATTTTAAAGTCTGACATAGAGCTAAATAGTTTGGATGAACTATTTCTATCTATTGGGGCTGTTATCTTACTCTTACACCTTAATAACTGTGCAGCATAGCTTCTTACATGTGTATCTGAGATCCTGTAATGGCTCATTTAGTTTCTCAAGAGCTCATTTTCAGTCCAATTTCCAATCTGGAAAGGAGCCTATTGCAGCTTATGTTTCACACATTATTCCACTACTAATTTATTAAACTCCTCAATCAGCAAAAATGTGGTTTATGTGGAGCATCGCAGTTCAGTAAATTTTTATTTTTGTCTTTTACAAATCGCATAAGTAGAATAAAACTAACATTGCATAACACCTCAAAACAGCATAACTTGGAGGTGGTAGCATCATGCTGCGGGGATGCCTTTCTTCAACAGGGACAAAGATACCAATGTGCACAAACTGGAAGATGGATAAAACTAAAAGAAGGCTTACAAGACAAGCAGTCACAGGCTTCAAAGGATTTGATACTTGAACCAAAATTCCCCTTCCAGCTGGAAAATGACCACATTTTAAACTGTGCAGCATTTAGGACTGGTAATGCTGTAAGCAGCTGGATTTGGACTTTAACTGATGTTTGCAAAAGGTAATCTGTGGTCCTACTGCCATCTGCAGAAATGGACCACTCGTGGTCAAAATAAGTCAATCTAAGCCCTGAGGAAGGTCTTAGCTCGCATACACACTGCTCAATTTATTAATGGAGGAGAATCGAGGACAGAGCTACTGAGCCTTATTGCTGTCAAAAAAGCAAATGCTGATTTAAAGTTTTGTTGGTTGGGTTTAACATTTTTTCTGTAGCAGAGTGAAGAACCTCAAAGTTCCCAAACAGCAGAGTTTAGTGACAGCGTAAGGCTGCACTGCCAGAAAGTTGCATTTCACACTTAGTTGAGATCATAAACATTCTGCATGTGTTCAGGTATAAACAATGCTGTATTTGCTTGGTAAATGTCCGTACTGAACCAAAATGATTGTAACGGATATTTTTGGTCTGAATGTGTACCCTTACACCTCTAAAATTTACAAATATCTTTTTTTTTCTCTCACTGTAACAGAATGTTTGTCCATCAGGTAGATTTTTGACTTTAATTTGTTCCTGTCCCTCCTCCTCTAGGTCACAGAGGCGGCAGACTGGAACAAAATGAACATTTGCATATTAATCAAATCCAGGTTTTGCAGTCCCAGAAGCACACTTGGACCAAAAGGTATTTGTTCCAGCTTGATTTGTATTCAGAGCATTTCATTTGCATTAGCTACACAACAAGGACTTGTCACACTGTCAATGCCGAACATAAACACACTCTTCCAGCAAACAGAAACATGTGGATGTGAGCTGAGGAAACACACAAAAAATAAACCATCTGTTGCTTTGGCCCTCTCTGACATGTACTGTGAGAAACAAGTCAAAATAAAAAAACTAATCACTCCTTCAAACTTTCCGACAAGCATTGGAGCTCTTTTAAATGGGAAGCAAATTGAGCTAATAGAGACACAGTAAATGAAGCACAAAAAAAGCTATTTGTGGTTAGTCTTCAAAAAAATCTAAATTAGAGACCTAATCTCATAATATCTTTTTCTACATTTCAAACGCCATGAAAAAATTAAGCGTTTCAAGCAAATATTAGATTGATGAACTTTACACTAATTCACTTTGATCAAAGCCTGGTAATCGCCCTCCTAAGCAGTACCCCTTGATTCTCATCTCTCTTCATTGCTCCATCTAGGAGTTCTGCGCTGTTTTGGAGTTATAGTCTGCCTATAGACGTAGTTTGGAGGAAGTGAACGAAGCCATTCAGTTCATGTTGGCCATGCTCCCAAATACTGAGCAATTGAAATTGTAGCAAGAGGAATGTTCAAGACATTTTACTGCTTGCAAACATTTTGTGACCCTCCTCTGCTTGGCACTCATCTCTTTGCAATGAGGTATTGTTGTTTACAGCTTTACATACATCACAGCTAAATGTTAGCGATTGGGTAAAATCACATTCAGTTGTTTCAATCTTCAGTAGAGTCCATGTCTCCAACAAGCCACTGTTTCTCATTATTCGAGGGTACGGACCGTCTGTAAGAAGCAAACTGTGGAACAATTGACTGGTTTTTATCTGGCTTCGAACTCTTTTTTTGAAATTAGGGACTATATTTTAAGTGAATAAATAAATAAAATACGGTCAATTTTGAACATTTAAATTGTTTAAATTTTAAACAATTTAAAATTTTGTGTGCTGTGTGTAGCACACAGCACATAATTTCTAATGCCAAAACAAACAGTCTTTTGATCATTCATAATCATCATATGAGTTGAAATTATTTGGTGTCTCACTTGTGACTGGTGATCTTCGTCTTTAAGCACCCCCTGCACCTGCAACAGGTTCTTAGCCACGCCCACACAGGGGAGACCTGACAGCACCCCAAGATGACACGCCAAGCCGAATTCTGTAATGGATAAATAACAATGCTTTTGTTTTTTCACACAGATTTTGCACACAAAACATATACAAAAAAAAAAAAAACTGTAGTTATTGTTAAGGAAGAAAAACTGTCCTACAGGTTAAAAAAAACACATTTTCAAAATATTCTTCTGGACTCAGCAAAAGCTGCCCATGCACACCAAGCCTTTACAATTGTATAATGTTGGAGCATACAAAGAGAATGACTTTTGACCATTCCTGTTGGCACGGTTTCTTTGAATCATTCAATATGGTGGCTCCTTTCTTTTGCTCTCTTTTTCTTTAATCAGTTCTTCTATCTAGAGGAAGTTGACCCTTTAACCTGTATTAGCACAGTTGCGTTAAATATCCTTTAAAATTCTTAAAAACATCAGTGAATATGTACCTCTGTAGTGGAAAAGACCATTCCCATCCACAAACACCACCTGTTGAAAGGAAACAGAACATTTACTATCAACTACAAATACCAGCTTAACTGGAATAATAATAAAGACAGCCATAAGCAAGCTTTAATCCATCACCTACTTCCCTAAACAGTTTGAGATGTCCACTTTAAAATTTCATTCCATTCATTTTTATTTTTACTCCCTTTGTTGGAAAACTCAGACATGTTAGGGAAACACGTGAGCTTGAGATTTTCCCACGTCAACACACCAATGCATATTTGAGTGAAGAAGAGATGATGCAGCTATTTTTCTGTTGGGAATAGGAGCTGATGAGGAACAGACCCCTTGAAAGGTTGCAGATAAACGGGCAGGCACGGAGCGTGTGTGTGCCCATGCTAAATGTCAGGAGAAGTAAATCAGTTTGTGTGTGTGTGTGAGAGAGAAACTGACCGTTTCTACACATTTTCTTGCGTGGGGACGGCGAGACAGAGGGGGAGGAAGAGGAGGAGGCGTGTGGGCTGTGACAAACAGAAGCGTGTGGGTGGGGATGACTTAGAGACGACACATGGAGGAACAGTGAGAGGGAGAACAGAGGAGCTTTGTCATAGACGCTCCACTAAATCTAATGAGTTTGAAGTGAACTGAGCTGAACCTGGGTATTACAGGTCCTAATTAGAGGCTGTTTAAAGAGAAATAAAATTAGTTTAATTATTGCAGATACATCTGACTTGTTGCATCAGATCAGGCAGAGAAGAGGATAATTATTTTAAAACTAATTCAGGGACTCACATTGTGGCTCCCTGTTTAATCCAGAACAGAATTCTCACTCGTCTTTCTTTCCTCATTGGACACAGACCTGAGGCATAAGTGTCGGCTGGCTGGTCTTCAGTCGCTGCAGCGCCTCCAGGAAGAAAGGGGTTTCCCTGAAGGCTAGAAAGCCAGAGACATAAGGGGCCGTCAGGGTCACCATGTGACTGTCTTCATACAGAACCTTAGAGGAAAGAGCAGAAACCAGTCAGTTCCCTGTACTGGGTTTTAGTTCACCAGAACAGTGTCCTAAAAGAGAGATGGAGCGATAAGGTCTGGATCCAAGTGTTCTAGTTTAAGTCATCTCTACAGTCTAGAATGCATTCACATTTATGCAAACATCTTACTGCCACAAGCTCTGCGAAATAAAAAAAAAAGATGTTTATGAATAACTGTAAGTGTACCGGCATAGATTTTATAAGTCTTTATAAATCTTCTATCACCTCATTGCTGGTATTGTTCAGACCTTAACAAACTAAAACGTCACTCTACATAATCAATATAGATGTTTAAATAAAAATAATCTGCTAAACATTAAATGCTTTCAGATTTGCTATTGTTTATTTATGGTTTCGGATGATTACACAAAGAATTCAGCAATGCACATTAAAAAAAGAGTGAAGGCCTATGTCTTATTTTTTTCTGCAGAGTTGTATATGGAGACCATTTTCTATGAAAGATGATTAGGGCCGCTGAAAGAAGTAGAATTCTGACTTTAATCTCATCAGTCCTAATTGTCTTCTGTTATTTTCTTTCAAATTTTCAAACAAAACATGAAAGATTCTGGGTTACTAGATTGTTTGCTTACACCTTGGGGTCACGTGTTAAATAACGAACATTTAGAAATAGCTTATAAAGTATGTCACTAAGCACACATATGCTTTAAGCACATTGCATGAATCTTTTGTCTATTTTAAGCAGCAATGTTACGGGTGATCGATTCTCCCAAGATGACCTTCCTGGGATCCTGCAGATAATCAGCAGGGTTCAGGAGACCAGAACCTGCATCTCCCTGGAGCACAAGCTGTCACAGCTCTCTGGTCACTCTAAAAATACTTTACTGTTGTGCCTCAGATGCTATAAGGTCAGACCTATATCACCTTCCTTCAAATTAAACAGCAGATGCTACAAATTAGACTTTGAAAAGCTGGTATTGGGCACAGAAACTGGTGAACAGAACCTCAACACACGATTGATTTCATGACAAACTGTCAAAAATGTCTGTCTTTAAAAATACCAGCTCGCTTTCAGGAAATACTTGTGTTGTATTATGGACTCCAATGACCGAAAAGCCTCCCCATAACAATGTTACAAACTGCACAATGAATGGTTTCTTTTATTATGTGACCAATTTGAGCTCTTGTGGCACAAACAGTGTGTAGCACTAGATTTGTTAAACTGTAGAAGAACACAGAAAAACTTACAATAATTTTAATAGAACATCTTCATCAGCAGCTTTACTTCATGGATTCAGTGTCAAACATTTGAGGGAATTAAACAGGTGCACATGCAGCATACAGTGGCCCTCAAAAGAGTATACATGCCCTAATCAATATGTTTGGGATTTCTGGTGTAAATATAAGTCATGCTCAACAATTTCAGATTATTTTTCCGAAAATCTTTGTATTTTGTACCATTTGACAAATTAACAAAAATGTAAACAAGAAAAAAAGCTGAAAAAAAACATAGAGAAACTGTAACAGCCAAACCGTATTTCCAATAAGACAGATTGACTAAAACTCATGTAATGTATGATCTTAAAAAGACTGAATCAGAAAAATGAATTGAAAGGAAGCCTTGTCAAAGTACTACTGGATGGTGGGGGTGGCGTTAAATATCACATTGTTAGAAAATTACTTTTGTTACCCAGCCACATGTTTTTTACAAAAACCTGTCATTCTAAAAGGGGTTTGTGTTACGTCTCATTGTAATCAAATAAACAGCCAATTAGATACACTCCAATATAATCTTAGCTATAAAACAATGCAGTTAAGTTTAAATTATTGCTAAAATTGCTAAAAAAGTCTCATATCTAGGAAAAAACAACCAATTCCATGGAGTCACTGACTCAGCTGTTGTTATTATGTACTTCACTCCACTTACATTTTTATAGATCTCAGAGTAAAACTGTCTGAAGTTCTTTAGTATACAGTAAAATTACAATAAAATAGAATGAATTGAATTGATCGCATTACAGGTTTTGGCATTGGATGATGAAGATAAATGACCTGGTAGACATTACAAAGCATTTTAAGCTATATGTCACTCAAGACACCAAGCAAATATCCCAGCTGGAGTGATGTTTCCCTCATGCCATCACCTTTCTGAAGTCATAAAATCTGCAGCTAATTAAAAATAATGACGACTCAAAGAGCGCTCACTTTAAATACGACTGCTTTTAAAGGTCGCCTGCAGCTGTCTGACAAAATTTCAGCTGTGGCCAATATAAAGCCTTAAAAGGGCAAGCAAATATTAATTTTCATTTTATTGTGCTATGTTTCTTAATAGCTCCTCTGCTAACTGAATGGCACTGATGAAAAAAAAACAAGTTCATGTCTGTTAAGCAAAAGAGTAGAAAATATTTTTTACTGCCAGTGTTCTGTTATTTCACCACAAGAGGGAGGCTCGGCTCAGTGTTACACTATGTGATGGAGGTCAGCTCACCTTCAAATCAGGGTAACTGAGCACCACGAGCTGGGCACAGGCATTGACTTCATCCCCTTTGATAAAGGAGAGGTCCACGCCACCGATCCGCTCCAGGCCAGAGAAGTCCGGGCTCCTCTGCCAGTCCTCAGTGTCTTCCTCCACCACCTGCTGCCTGAGTCGCTTCTGCTCACTGCATCAGAGCAACACACACTCACACATGCCCACACACAAATGTTTTCACAAAGTCCAACACTACTCATCTGTAACACTCAGAATCAAGACTCCGTAATAATGTCTTCTGTTAAATAAATAATGTTATAGAAGATTGAGCTACATCATGAATATACATACCAGGTTGGGTTTGTTGCGACTATTTGGTACAATTTCTAACTAACTACCTTTGGTTTGATGTACATAAGATACAATGTGGTATTTTTGCATTATGAATCAGGTTTGATCAAACATGTGGTAAAGTCATCGTTTTTAATTCTGAAAAATTCCCAAAACCTTTTAAATAAATGCCATTTCTTTTTGTGTTCAAGTCTAAATGCAATTTTGTGAAAACACATTTTTGGGGCACTGGCTATTCATTCTTTTGCATTGCAGTCTGTCACTCATTTGTGATTTATTTATGTCTAGAAAAAATGGCAGACATAACTTCTTTCCCCTTTTTTCGTTTTAGAAATGGGTAAGAGAAAAGTTTGGAACCTTAAACACTTTCATATGCTTAGTTCTCCTTTGTCCACACTTTTATTAAAATAAATGAATAAATTAAAATAAATAAACAAAAGCAAAATTCAGACTGAATAGGAACCCAACTGCCTTCCTTAAAAAGTTCAACACTTGTATCATTCCTCGCTCTGATTTCAAACGTTTTATACTAATTCTGATTTTATAGTCGTAATTTATGCTGGCTGGCATTTTGAATTAAACCCAAAGCACCAACATTGAGACGAGGCGAGAGTAATAAAGCAGCGTTAAAATTGTAACTGCAGGCTATTAACCAGCTATAAGATGTAGCGGATCGCGCTAACCTTTCCCATTGTTTGACCAACTCTTCAGGTGGAGGACTGAGCATCTGGGTCATCATTTGCTGTAGTTTTGATTTATTTTTACGGATAAAGGGGGTGACCAAAACGAGACAAGACGTTCACTTCCGCAAACACTCTGACGAAAGCAAAAGGACGCAGTCTTCATAGTGTGCGTTCATATGGCCCCCTCTAGCGGAGCTTGAATTACATTGCATTTTCTTGACTTGAGTGAGTGTTGAGAAATTCTGCAATATAAATTCAGGCAAATCTGGGGGAAAGAGAGGCCTGGGGGTCTCCCTTAGTCCTAGTATTATTTGAAATGTTTCATTTTCCATAAATCATTCAAGTACATCACTCTAATATGTCTAAGTCGTGCACACTCTCTTCAGCAGAAATCCACAAACTGGGATTAAGAAATAAAACTATAAACACCTACATATGTAGACAATCAGGGTATTTCAAACAAAATTGTTGTGGATCTTTGCATTGACTTCCATTCATTTTTTATTCATTTCTACAATCTAACCCTGACCTTGTCCTAAATCTAGCACACTTTTGCCCCCCTCCCCCCCAAGCGTAACTTCTAATCCAAAAACATCACTTACTCTTATGAGGCCATGACTCTGGGCCCCATAAGGAGCAGTCGGTCACTACAGCGTGACCGACTGTAGTGACCGATTGTCACAACAATGTATCAATTACAAAGCCATCCACGTCTTCATCTACAATCAGGTTATTGAGGGTTATTGTTGCTCCACTAGATGGCAGTAGAACCTCAAACCAACGATAATGTTCACATTATCATCAAAAAAGTCTGGTTTCAGTCAATAAGTGAAACAATCAACCAGTCACATAAAACATATGACACAATGCAAATCTCATGAAACAGCATAAATTTATTGAATAGCTGCTTTAAGTCCTTCACTTTGCACATTCCTTTTAAACAAAACCTATCTCCTGATACAAACATCCAGTCATTCCCTACTGTGCAAAATGTGAGGACTTTTGACAACATCATTAGCTACCTTTGACCTTAAGTGTCCACCTCCACTTCCATTAAGTACATGGCGTTTTGCAAAGGTCAAAGAAGTAGGATTGGGTCTGAAACCAAGAAAAAGTCTCATGGATAAGCACTAAGTTGTAAAGTTACGTTTTCAGTTTCAGTAAAGTTAATTTAAAATTATCATTCCATTTAAGATCTTGTTTCTGATCTTAATATCAAAAATAGTTAAGAGAATAAAGTGTTATTTGTCTTTTTTTTTGTCATTATTTCTCAGCTCTTTTGCTGCAGAATTCACTGTGAATCCAGTAACACAATAAGCAGCCGCTTTTTGAAAGCTTGTGAATAAGTTGAGTTTTAGTGCTTCTGGTGCTTTTTGTCTGTGTCCCTGTTCACTGGATGCCCCCTCATACCTCATCCTGTTGTCTGCAGCAGCAGTGAAATATCAATAAATACCATTTAGTAGCAACCAGACTTACGCAAATGATAACATAAGCACCCCTATGTTTGACAGATGCCATGCATGCTTTTGCGTCATGACCTGTTTCTCCTCTAGCCATTTTGATTAACTTCAAGAGGGGCAAACATTTTCTGTGCAAAACAATTCAAAGGCTATTTTTTTACTGTATTTTTATTTTGGCCCAGCTGTCTGACAATGCGGTCCTTAACAAAGGTTAGGTTAAAAAATATGAATAGATTCACCTTGCAAAAAATTAGTGACTCATTATGAGTTTCTATTTTTGAACACCATTTTCTGAATGATACTCTGCAACCAACTCAAAGCTACAGTAAGCCTATCACATCAACAACCTGCTGAGAAATCAATGCAGGATGCAGACAGGTGCAGAGTTCACTAAAGAATGTTATTATGAACTTTGAGAGGGACTGCTTGAGATCTGTTGAGGGATTTAAACCCAGACAGGAACATTTCACAAATAGCGCAGGTATCGAAAAACATCTTAAGTAGATAAAAAAAGAGAACATTCTCAAAATTCTTTAAACTAATAAATTGGTTGATTGGTTTTCAACTATGCAGTGTATTTTCTGCACAATATCACTGAGTGTAATATTAATGTTTGGCATACATTGTTTGTCAGCTGTTATATTCCAGTTATCATTCATTTGTGCTGCACATGCCAATTATCTGATACATGTAGTATCACTTGCTCATTCATAATGCAGTGACCAAAATGCTAAATGTTTCCAACTTTGTACGGACAGAAAAGAAACTGAACAGTGAATAGGCTAGAATCAGCATATCAGTGATTAACAATAATATCTTACACAGGCTTATTCCTTGGTCAATATGATATTTTACAAAAAAGGTACACAAAAATCTTTTTTCAGTTTTGTTTCAAATATTGGATCCTCACTTCATTCAGTCTCTTTTTCCTCTCTTGAATGTTTATTTCCCATGTTTTTTTTTTTTATCTCAGACATGTGAGCTCAGCTGCTTTGACTCACGTTGAAAGCACACAGCTGCTTAAGGCATTTAGTCGCCAAGTGACTGATGCAGTCAAAGTACAGCTGAGTCTCAGAAATATCCTTATTTTCTTATGATCTTATTTTCATAGTACTAATTGCGATGACATTAAGCTGAACAGACACGCAATTTTAAAATCACCTGAATCTAAAAAAATATTTTTTAAACATTTTTAAAGTACTGTAGTTGCATTTGTTATGAGTCCAGCAGACATACGTTTTGTATTTTTGAAAAACATGTTCATCGTTATTATGATTTTTTTCTTGCGACATTTGAGTCGCGCACACGTTGAGGGGAACATGCAGGCTGCAGATTTAGGACTTACAGCAAATACCAGTGTTATTTTGCACGGCGAACGTATGATACTAATCTGAATCTGAGCTGGTTGCATAATGAAACCGAAAATACTCTTTTTTTTCTTTCTTTCTTTTTTCTGTTTTTTCCTGTGACTTTTGAAGCTTAGGGTCCAGTGTAATTCTGGAGCGATAACGTGTCCTCTGCTGTCTTGTCCTTCGCATGAGCGGAGATTTTTTTTTTTTATGAAGGCAGAAGTGGGAGGTGGAAAAACACCGAGTTCAGAGAAGCAGGGCGGAGCCACCGAGAGAGAGAGAGAGAAATACCACCGCTGTCCTCCTATGCCCGCACTTCTCCATCCGCTTTGGGCTCCTCTCGGCTGCGGCGGGCTGGGTGGGACTTTTATCCCCCCACCCCAAGAATCCAGCGTTCCAGACTGTTCGTCTGTAAAAGTAACTTTGTTTACGGTTAGCTTTCTTGGCCAGTTGTTCCTGCTACATGGACAGCTTCGCGTTACGAAGCTAACCGTCGTTAGCCGCGGAGCCGGGCTGAAGTGACGAGCCGAGCGGAGCGGAATGGCAAGAATTCACACCGGTTCCCCTTCCAGAAGAGGTCACGACTGAAAAAAAGTAAACATTCGCTCTTCTCCCAGAATCACCGGTACGTACATGCTGGGGGGAGCTGTGCGAAGCTAATGTCTATCTGTGAAGTTAGTGTTAGCTTACGGGCTAGTCTGTATCAGTTTGAACTGTTTTATGTTAGCTAATGCGAGCGGGATTTGACCCATTTACTGTGATAATTATAGGTCTGATGCCATTTACTAAGTATTTTCAGGTAGACTACCTCTCACATGATTTTGAAACGTCACGGTACTTGATAGATATGGTCAAATCTCGATATTATCAATAGGCGAATAAATTGAAGGGTTGCGTGAAAAGCTGAATTTCCCCTTTAAAGTCCCATCGGTGACAGAGTGGAACATTTTAACAATAATGTACCACTGCGTTGATCCGCATTGTGCGGCACATTCTGCTGCGTCAATTCTAAGTTAGGCGCAAATGTTGCTCTGATTTCAGTTTTTGTTTATAGCCCTTTTAAAACGTGTTTAGTGCTCAGTTCGGTTAAACCTGTTCGAACACAACAACCGGTTTCTGAACCCGATCAGATCAGAACCCGAAAACGGATCAGGATAGAGCTCCAGGTATCAAACTGATGGCTTTTGAGGAAAGATTTGTGCTCATTTTCTAAATGAGGAGAAAATATAAAAATATCCATTCATTTTAATTTGTGCTCCTGCCTTCTAAATTGTTTAGTTTGCACATTTGTTTCTCGACCTTTGCTAGTTCTTCCTCCCATCTGGGACCTGCTCTTCAACATCTTGTCCCATCCAAATTAAATGTCATATTTGTAAACAAACCATTGACTAATCATTTATTTTTCTTTTTATTGTTGAGATACCGTAATAGAGAGAAAAAAAAGAGGTACATTCTCACATTTCACCTCAGTGTCTTTTGGTTTCCAAGGGCTTTTTCGGTTGCACCCATTTCTATTTATTTGGGTTCTGCTCTTTGGAGAGCAGAACCCAAATTTTGTGATTTTATTTTGTGAATAAAATCACAAAATTATGAAATAGTGAAGAGGGGAAATGACTAGTATCTACACATTTATAGCAACTTTGACTATTTCTTTATAGGAGTGGTCCTTTCTCTCTTAAGGACCCGTATTATTTTTTTTACCTCTATGACAAGCCTATGTTTCTATTTTTACCTATTCTTAAATGTTGCAAGTGAACACTAGGACAAGTAAGGAAAACATTTTCCTGAGAATGTTTGCACTGTCACGTTCTTGGCATTGTCCTGTTTCTAAAACAACAAAAGTCATGTTATCATTTACGCTTTGGTCAAGCTTTGCAATGTAGCGTGGCAAGCATATAACTCCAGCTACCCAGTCTGCACGACATCGCCTTAAAGCTGCAGTACGTAACTTTAATAAAGAGTATGCTTTTTTTTTTTTTTTCGTATTTGTGAAAACTGTCACCATGTCGTGACAGTTCATTATGTGACAGATAATCTGTGAAAAGATCGATCTCCAACACCTCCTCCCTGAGCTTTTATTTTGTAACCAACCAGAGAGAGAAGGAAGGCCTTAACGCTGTCACTCCATCTCATGTACTCGCTGCCAAATAGGTGGAAATTGTGATCGACAATGTCATGCACCGATTGGTTGTTTCTAGTTAGCACTTGAAGAACAGGGAGAAACCAGAGGAGCTCGTTTTTTTTCCCCCACACAGATTATCTCTCATACCAAAGTGTCACGACATAGTGATGGTGTCAACAAATACGTT